GGCACTGCCTTACCCGCATGACTAGCAGATGGTTACGTAAGTCATGAGAAGGTTGATAAACCTATAGTGACTACGGTGAGTCGAAGCTATGGTGATGATAGATGACTATCATCACTTGTCGTTCCCTTAGCAATGATCTTTTCCTACTAACTATCAAGGTATTCGRCATTGTGAACATAACGATGAGAGAAAATATATAAATATAACTGAGGAAATATAGCATGTTTTAAATTCATTATAGTGTTATACCAGTATTTCATAAAAACTAAATAAAATATATAACAATGAATCCTCTGATCATATTTAATATTTTTTCAATGAAATGAAAATAAAAATATTTAGTATATAATAATTCAAAATTGTTATTAAATTATTCACCCGTGGGGTCCCATGCTTACCTTCTCATATTTTTTCTATTCAGTTAATCATACTTAAATTTATTAATTTTATATTTCAACATTAGTAACCTGGAGTGCTCAGAATAATCATTTTTCAATAATCTAATTTTTATGAATAATTTTTCGGATTAATAATTTGAAGATTACAGACAGCAGTGTGTATAGTGTTTATTCCTAATCAATTTTGTTCAAATTTTTTTTTTGCTTCTTGAAAAACGTTGACTACGGTCTCCAGGTCCCCCCCTTCTCATTTTTTTTCATTAATTTAAGTATGTTAACTTTTGGAGTAGGTTCGAATTTTTTTTTTTGGTTCTTAAAAAACATTTGCCTGCGGGCTCCAGGTACCCCTTCTCAATTTTTTTCATAATTTTAAGTATGTTAACTTTTGGAGTAGGTTCAAAATTTGTTTTTGCTTTTTAAAAAAACATTTGCCTGCGGGCTCCAGGTACCCATTTCTCATTTTTTTTCATTAATTTAAGTATGTTAACTTTTGGAGTAGGTTCGAATTTTTTTTTGCTTTTTAAAAAAACATTTGCCTGCGGGCTTCAGGTCCTCCCTTCTCAATTTTTTTTATTAATTTATGTATTTTAACTTTTGGAGTAGGTTCAATGTTTTTTTTTGGTTCTTGAAAAACATCAGCCTACGGCTCGAGGCTCCCCTTCTCATTTTTTTTTCATGATTTTAAGTATGTTTACTTTTGGAGTAGGTTCAAAATTTGTTTTAGCTTTTTAAAAAAACATTTGCCTGCGGGCTTCAGGTCCCCCTTCTCAATTTTTTTCATTAAGTATGTTATCTTTTGGAGCAGGTTCAACATTTTTTTTGGTTCTTAAAAAACATTTGCCTGTCACCTATTTAAGTATGTTAAGTTTTGGAGTAGGTTCAAAATTTTTTTTGCTTCTTGAAAAACATTTTCCAACGGGCTCCAGGTACCCCTTTCTCATTTTTTTTCATTAATTTAAGTATATTAACTTTTGGAGTAGGTTCAAAATTGTTTTTGGTTCTTGAAAAACATTAGCATACGGGCTCCAATTACCCATTTCTCATTTTTTCATTAATTTAAGTATTTTAACTTTTGGAGCAGGTTCAAAATTTTTTTTTGCTCCTTGAAAAACATTTGCCTGCGGGCTTCAGGTCCCCCTTCTCAATTTTTTTCATTGATTTAACTATGTTAACTTTTGGAGTTGGTTCAAAACTACTAGCAAATATAGTATATTCTGTTTTCAAATTATAGGCTAAGTTCTAGCCTCTAGATTTCTGGTTGTAGCAGTAATAACAATAATATAATAACTGAGCGGGCTGCCAGCACAAGTCGTTCTGGGAAATGAGAATGTGTGTTTGATAACGATTTGTTATATTAATAAACTATGTTTATGTTTTTATTACGCTATAGTAATAATTAATATTCCAATTGTATCCATATTGTTATAAATATACTTGGTGATACCTCAACTCGTGTGTAGCGTGTTCATAAATTATAAGCAATACATTTTACAAATCTGCCTCCACCAACCCCATCACCACAATTGATAAACAACAATATTCTAGAGTCCACATTGAACTCAGATTTCTTATTTGATTTTAAATCATGGTATAAAATATATTGCCAAAAAGCTAGAATTTTTTCTCTTTTTACAGACATTATTAAGTTTGAGATAAAAATATTGAAAAATAAACTTCGATGTGGGCTGTAGAGTACTTATCTCAATCAATTATAAAAAAATGAAATACAGTTTTAAACGTTTTAACAAAAAGGAATTCAAAATATGAATTGTATATATAAAATTGTTGACTAATGATAATACATGTGCACTACACCCGCTTTGGAGTAGGCACAAGCGCATGTTAACTACTGAGGAGTAAAAGATCTGTTCAAAATTTTAAACACTCCACTGACTGCATTTCAATTCAACTAGGTCTATTACATATGCGGGGCTTTAATCCATAATATTAATTTCAATCAATTTTGAAACACTTCATGAGCTACATTTATAGCAATTATATGTTGTTACATTTATTCAATACCTAATGTAAATTATTTGTATCCAGCTTATCTGCATTATGGCTATGACTATACCATATTTCTTCCCAAACAAACTGTAAAATGTTAATTCATATATGCTTTAATACAATTGATTACGTTGAATTTTTTAAAAACCATTTGAAAAAAAAAGTTAAAATCCTGACTTTACCATAGTATTATTTCACAAGTATCAGACTTAATAAACTCATGAAGCACTTTTATATTTTTTAGTTCATTAAAGTAAAATCTACAAGCATAAAACTTCTCAGTGAATAGTAATAGCATTAATTCATAATAGTTATTACTAATAATTAGATAGATAGATATAGATAATAATTATTAAAAATCTATATTTTATAAATTAAAATGTTTTGATGACTAAAGAACTGATCTTATAAATAAAAACAAATTGGTCCTTCCTGTAAAAATACAAATATTAAGTGTAAACATTAGGTATTACAGTAATAGATGTTATAATTTAAGAAACAGTACCTTTTAGATGTGCTAAATTCAAAGAATTAAGGACAGAGTCAATTAATAATTGAAGAAAATTAATTTATAATTTAAAATATTTTCTTCTCCAGCCAGAAAAATGTAAATTTAATATTGAAGCTACATTTTACATAAATTGAATCAAAAGTTTTAGTAAGAAAGTTATTTCCTTGAGTACCTATCAATGGTATTGGTACTCTCTAATAAAATATATTTTGCTATAAAGTCCGTGTCTGTGTTGAAAAAAGTTTTATAGATTAATTATGATCCGAGACTACAAATAAATACTATTAAAACTACTAAAACTAATGTATACACTAAATTAATTGTAAAAAACTACTGTTAATAATACATATGTGTTAAGTAAATTACAATATTTATCTATTATTCTATTAAAACTAGGTGCTGGTTTTTTTTTAATTTTCATTACTTTATAAACCTAATACATTTTACTACATTTTTAAAAACAAATTAATAAGTAATAATTACAGCTGCTAAATGTCTTCACAATAACATAATAAATTATCTTAGATAGTTAAAAATATTGACATCAATTAAATAACTGTCAGCAAAAGAGTAATATAAATGTACTTTGATATGTCTGTGAGTATAATATTATCCAAGTGAAATATATATTTAAATAGAGTTGTATAAAAAAATTATTAAATTAATGGTCCACTAAAATTTCTAAAATTTTCTAAATGTTCAGTGTTTTTTCATGCAACCTACATGAATAGTAGAACAAAATAATATGACTATTGATGAATATTATTACTCCTTTACAAATAGCTATAGTGTATTATASAGACATTAATTATTACCAAGTGTAGATGTCAATACTTTATCAGATATCTGATTACTTATATTTTAAGTTTTTAAATTAGATTATTTAAACTTATATAATTCATAGTGCTTAAGGATGCATTTAATAATTATTGAAAAACTAATTCTACAACAATATAACTTTCAACAAACGATTGAAGTGTATTATATAATGATAAATATGGATAATTATGTTTTTATAACTTAATATTTTAATTTTAATTTCTTAGTATTAAACCTTAAAATGTATGTACTAATTAAATACAAATACACATACACACATATACACTCAAAAAAGAACTTTAATATACATTATACATATTATATTCTGTARTTAATTTTAACTCTTTATAACAGCCAGTGGCGTGACGAAGGACTATATTTGAGGCACGTGCCTCAGTTTGAGGGGTGGTGGGTGTCCTCAAAGATAATCTGATGTGTTAAAAAAGCATTATTATTTAAATGAATATTTTATCTTAAAATAATTTTTTAATATTGTTTGTGATAGGTTGAGTGGGTGGTTGGTCTGACAATATAACTGTGCCTCATAACTTAATGAAGTTCGCCACACCATTGATAACAGCTATATATTTTTAAGATTGGAAGAATATTTTTATGTTTTTATATTTATATTTAACTTATTTCAATTAGGTTTAGAGAAAATTAAAGATCTAATTAATATATAATTATACAATGCACTTAAAATATATAAAATACATATGATCTTGTATTTGGTTTGGTATACAAATTAAAATTTAATTCTTATACTTAGATGTTATGTTTGGATGAATTATTAAAATAAATAATTTTTTTCAAATTACTCTCAACATCAGATGCACTGTTTTGAATAGTTTAAGTAAAATAAAATTAATAATTATTAAGTTACATATATTCATAATACTTATATATTCACTTAATATTATTTTTAGTAATTATAGTCAATATTAGTATTGTGTTAATTTAATTTCATAAAAAAATTTAAATAATAAAACCTAACATAACATTTCTATTACAGATAAATTATATTTTTAATTTTGATCTAATATTAGTAAAAACTAACAATATTTTAGTGAATACCATTCGTTAAATACATGCTTACAAAATACAAATTGTCAAATTTCTTTCAACCATTTTTAAATGTATGTTGCAGAGAATATTTAGGAAAAATAGTTTCCTTTTAATTATTACAATAAATTAGGGTAAGATTCGTTCATTATCAAAAAATCACTTTATTTATTGTAATAAAATTTTTTTTAAATGCCAACGATCAATGAATAATTAGTTGAATCAATCCTATTATACTGAGTATTGCACTGTATAGGATTTAAGTTAAACTATGAAATCATGAAATCATAATATTAAATTATTTAAGTGTGAATTTACTGACTTAAAACTGATAAATTGTGGATGAAGTCTTCTGGTGTAAGTATGTGAGATGAACCTGTGCAAAACACATAAATATAATTAATAAGTATTAAAATAAAAAGCAAAATAATTAGTAAAAATCTATTACTTTATTACCTATAATTACTTCCCAGTTTTTGAAATTACTAGTTACTTCATACGCACATCTTATCTCTGAAAAACTGATTCCTCCAATCACGAAAATTATTACTCTTGGGACATTTTTTATAAGCTGTTGTCCTTTGCCTTTATCCTTATGCCAGTGTCCATACCGTGCACTAGAAATGAAATGGAATTCATAGCAATATAGTCAGAACAAAATATAAAATTTTTTATAGTATGCTATAATAATTATATAGTAAATTATTGTGAGATTTATTACGACCTAGGATGTAGGGGACTCATGACAAAATTAATCAGTGGGGCAAAGCTAATATCTGAGATTACGCGCGATCTAATGATGATTTAAGCCCATGTATTTAATCAGTCACAGTTCTGCCTTTGAAAAAACATCACCTGCGTCAAAAAGTTTTGTTTATTACAAGAATTACCACAGAAAGTTAATTTTTCAGATAAATATAAAAATATTTTATGTTTCAGCTTTTTTTTTTYATTAAGTTTTGAATTTATGCAAATTATCGCAATATTGATAATTTACAGAGGCAATAATAATTATCTAGAGCAGTGGTTCTCAAGCTTTTTTGGTTCACGGCACACTATTGTACATCACAAGTTTTTGCGGCACACTCAATACAAATGTATTGGAATAAAGTATTGTTTTCAATATTTTTTACCAGCATAATAATTACAAATATCAAAATATTACACATTTATCACAGCACACTGGTCAAGAACCACTGATCTAGAGTCAAACGAAAGTTGGATCTGCTGTAAAAAATGTACTTAGAGGGTACACTTGTCTTGCTCTAGAAAATAAAATAAATAATAATACTGAAAATCGTTATTTAATTTAAACTAAAATTACTAAAAGACTAACAAAAGGTATTGTTTACTTTTAAAGTTTAATTTTTAAGAGTGTTTTAATCTACATTATTATAAATCAATAATTTAGGTGCATCTATTTGTGAAAAAGCAAAATGATTAGTAYTAAATTGAACAAAGTAATTATTTAAGWGCAAATTGTTTTGTTTTTAATAATTTATAATAATTAAAACTTGTTTGAGATATGCAATTTTTTGTAAATAATTTATTTTTGTGCCGACCTAATATAATATTTAATTGTTTGTGCCCCAGACTGATTACGGTTTCATCCCACTTATGGGACAAAATAAATCATTTTAAATGTCAATAAAAAAATGTTACTATGGAATATTATAGCTAGATACACCTATTAAGTAAAATAAAGTATTAGTTTAATATAAAGATAGGTCTTACACCTTGTTTCCCTAATTGCTTTCACAATTATTTAGGTTGTATACAGTATAGATTGCAAAAATAAATTTAAAATAAAGAAAATAATAATAATAATAGTATTAATTATACACCTTGATGGTGCATGGTATCCAGATGAAGCAGCTCTGCCAGCGAGAAAAGGAAAATGTTTAGCATCTAATTTGTCTTCAATACAGTCTTCCATTAAATCTTTGATCACTGGTGTCCATCGAGACATCTGATATGTTTGTTCAGAGGTGCGCTCTTTACGTGGAATTTGATACTGTTTTTTTTTACTACCCTGAGGATATATAAAATATGTTTATTAAATAAATAATATTTATTAATTTTTTTAATACTTACGTCTACAATTGAATTGATACCGAGCAAATTCAAATTAACAATTGTTTGTTTATCAATTGGTGACAGTTGGGCATTTTGTATTAATTTATTAAGATTATCTTCTGATATTCCGTTCTTTGATAAAATATACAATATGATTATCCTTATTTTATCGTTGCTAGATACATTTTGGTCCAACAGTATAGGAACGATGCACCTCATATGATCTTTGATTTTCTCACCTTCTGTGTCTGTACCCGTAGCAAGATCTTGCTCTACTTTACAAAGTCTGTTCACACTACCTTGATAATGTTTCATGCAATCTTCAGCCAAATGCAAATGAGTTGAATATTTACTTAATTCTTTTTGATATTGAGGCATTTTTTTGATCATTGTAGATAAATTACTCATAGATGATTTACCTTCATCAACMGCAGACATGCGTTTAGAATCTGAGAATTTCTTTAACTTCTGTGTCACATTCCTGAAAAGAATAACAGAACACGATAGTATAGAAAATATACTGGCGTATAACTATAAATTATCGGCACCTGAGCAAATTTAACTTAAGATCTCAATGTATAACTATCTATTTTGTGCAAATAAAATTAACCAATTTTAAACAATTGATATATATTATAATACAATGCACTTTTTTCAACTGTACAAACAAGCCACTAGAACAATGGACCAGACACCATATATAAATAAGCCTGGATTACAACATAACCAGATGTACCACAGCCATTAAGACTTGAGCACCTTCACACCACCCAGCCTCATAAACACTTACAATATTGAACATCATTATAATTTTTGCTAAATTAAAATAAACCACCGTTTGTTCATACTTTGGAAATATTCTTCAAACTATCATTAAAAGTCATTGTCATCTTGAATGCTGAAAGGCTGCATGCAACAATAAATAGTTTTTTTTTTATTACTTAAGAAATTAATTTTTCTTTTAAACTTCAAATAAAATGAATATTACTATAAATTATTCAATAGTGGAATTAATTTATATTGTTTGATGCACTCGGTATATTTAGCAAATTTTAATATTCCAACCAGAGTTCACAATAGTCTAATTATATACAAATATTTCTACCTATAAAATATATTAAGACGATTAGATTTTTAGCCATGCAAAAAAAGTTGTTTTTATTAAATTTGAAACAATAAGATTAAGTTATTTAATTTTAATAAGATTACTATTACTTATGTGTAGGACCATGGAATTTCTTTAAACTTAAATTTTTTTTATACGAAATTRCATGCTATATTTGATGAATTTTATATAATGAAAAACTAATTTACAAACATTTWTTTCTGATTGATTTAAAAAAAAACCTAATTTAAAAATAATATGTTTTTTTTGGTATACAATWATTTTAACCCTAATAAAATTATGTTCCACAGTCCACACAATACCTTATGTGCTGCAGAGAGGTCATGCTTGCCCACTTTTTGTTATAATACATTTGTACTGTGCTCAATATTATCAGTGTAAGTAATTTACATTCTATTCACCTCAAATTAATTTTATAAGCATATTTTGTAAACAGTGTATATAGTTTAAAGGAATTTATCATTTTCTTAAAAGAAATGTCAATCATTTTAAAATTTTAATTTTATATATTATGTAAATGAAATAAATTCTAAACATTTAAGGACTTTTTAAAACCCTTTGCAGTACACACTAATACCATTCTATAGCCATGTCACTGAGAAAAGTTATAAACAAAGTAACCTAGTTAATTTATAAAACTTACTTAGATACCACGGCAATATGCTGATGTCTAAGCTCCATCCAGAGTTCGTCATTCTCATCCAATAACACTTCTTTAATGAGAGAAGACCCTGCATTGGCTTCATACCTTTTGAAAAAATATTAATTAAAATTAGAATGAAATGTTATAATTATAACTCACTTATAAACRTCATTTTCTATTGGCAAAAGGTCATAAGCCATAGCTTGAAATGTAAGTTCATGCAAGACCGGAGATGCACAATCGAATCCTCTGTCTAGTATAATTAACTGTGAACGCACTTTTTCTGGACCTTCGCCCATTGTTGGCTCATCAGCTTTATAAGCATCTAACTTTTGTTGTACAATTTGAGCCAATTCAGCATTACGTTCAAAATCGCTTCTATATCGTACTGATGGATATTCTCCTAATGTAGCACAAACTGTAGCAATCTGTTCTGCAATACGTTCCATGTTTGGGATGCGACTGCTAACTAGTAGTGGATTATAGTAACATTGAAATGTTTCAAGAGAGTCCAAAGAAAATACCTAAAAACATAAATTGATGAAAAACAATACTGACAAGTAGCTGTTTAATATAAAATATTGAAAAATCTAAGTATTAAAACAAGCATATTATATATATATGTTCTTTATTTAATTTATTTATGTTAAATAAACACACCTGACTTTCATATGGTAGAAAAGCGATGTTTATCTCTTTGAGAGTTTTAATTTTTTTGGCAGCAATCGAATTGCACAGTTCATTGAAGAGTTCTTCTTGACACACTTTTGTTAGCAATTATAATCAATTAAATGAATATAAAGCATGAGTTGCATATTATTGGCATACAAATATTATATTATTGGCATACAACTATTATATTATTGTGTTACTGGTGTTGGTGTGCTAAATTAATAGGATCTGTTGTAGTTTGATGCATAATAGCATGTAAAATTTATTTTAATATCTATTTTTAATTAAAAAATGTCAAAAATAACCAAATTTATTAACTTAAAATTTAACATATATAAKGGTCATCATATGATGAAGAAATTGAGAGACAAATTCAATTCACCAAATAATCCAACCTTAACTAAGTCAAATCTAATTATAGAACAAAGATAATCTATATATATGTATATATCTAAATATAATTTATTGTAAACCAACAAACATAAACCTAATGTATGAGATAGATAAAATTATATAAGTACCTTATATAAAGCATATAAATACAAATTATATATGCAGTATTATATATTATTATTAATAATAATAAAAGAAGTAATTTAAGAGAATATCAGCGCACTATTTGATTCTCTTCTCTGACTCATGAGCAACAAAATAAATTAACATTTAACAGAACCAAATATGTGTCGTTAGTTTTTATATTATAATGAATTCACTCATTATCAAACTTTAAGTTAAGATTGCCTATGTCTCATGCTTGCTATTTTATAATATGTTGATTTTTATGTAAGTTATGAGCATATAAATTATTACAATTTAAAAAAAGCTTATAAATTATACAAAAATTAAAATATTGTAATAAAGCCAATGTACCTTGGTAGGTATGTATAGTATTTACAAAACTAAAGAGTGGAACAAATAAAGAGAACACTTTAAGAATAATTAATGGTAACAACTATCAAACCTATGAAAATAATAGAAAATTTAATTAATAAAGGAAGATACCAAGCATATATTAGTTATACTACAATATTTAAAATGATTGCCAAAAATGTAACTATTTAATTTGAAGACAGTTTGTAATAGCTATAATTTTAAGTAGGTATTGGAAGAATTGTACACCAACATAAATGGAGATAAAAAAAAATATTTTACCTTCTGTGAAGAATACATGAGCATTTTTGTACATGAATTTCCCCGGAATGGAAAAGTCTCTGATAAGTGTAGAGATAGATTTTTCACAGGGAGTGATCAAATAAACGGCGTCCATTGTAGGCAACGGCTCACGGTTCAAGTGCAGGTCTTCCACAACTAAAACATACAAGAAAAATTAACATCAACACTTACACCTCTTGTCTTGAAAGTATAGTCATATCGATATTGAGAATGATGCTCACGGGTGATCCGCTCATCCGATAAGTCATGCATCTTGCAACATGAAGATATCATTCTCATCGCCAACTGATCGACTACTAACACCCGCCATTCGATTGGTTTTTCAACAGTACCAGTACCCTTTTTAAATTCTTTCCGTTTGATCACTTCGTCCATAATCTCTGTAAAACGACGACGGTTAATGTAGGTATGGGTTGTATACTRCACAATTATATACGACGGTCGATAATGAGTGGCTGCCTATGGGACACACAGACCGAATCGCAACAACTTACTTTGTCCAACGATCGCTTTTAGTGCCATTTTTTCCAACGAATTTGATTGAATATTTGAAGACTGCAATGGCAGTAGAGAACTAGAGACAAACACTGAACAGAAAACAAGCTCGGGGGGTCGCTTTGTAAACAATAGGCACTCACTCAACTACTCAGTACTCACACCTTAACGCCTGGCACAGTGACGCAATGACGTAGTGGGTAGTCTACACTCTACAGTCACCACTCAGTCCACTCGACGACTCGACCAGTCAATAGTTACGATTTATATATTATCATTGTCCCGATCMGGGTATCCGGAGATAAGACCAAGCAACAAACAGCGAATATTATTGATTGTACGTTTTTGGAATCTCGGTGGAACCGTCAACGCTGCAGTGTGACCAATGAAGACGGAGTGAAAGTTACATCATCTCATCTTAATTGAATTTAATAATAATAAATAATCTATTTACTGCCTAGATTCTACATTTTACCACAGATTATAATCTGTGAGTTTATAATAATTCATAATAATCTGTTATAAATAATTAATATTTTGTTATTATAATTAATAATAATTTATTATAATCTGTGATTTTACATTCTAAACTCTAGAATGTCTAGATACTTATACTCTTGTAGTCTCGTCCACGATTTAAGAATTGAATAAATAATTATAACAATAKATATTTATTATATGACGCTGATATATCGTACACGGTTAAAGATATACTGAAAGRTGGAAGTATAATAATAATAATATGTATAATGTATAGGTATCTTTAATTGCAATTCGTGGCTAATACCGTCTCTCACAACAATCATTTTATATTATAATACATACATGTATAAATGTGTTACAATATAACAGTCAACTAATAACAATTTAAAACTTTTAACTATTGATCTTAATCAGTGTCGGCCAAGACTTTGAGCTTTTCTTTAATTTTGTTAGTTTGTAAGGAGAGCATCCACGAAGCATGTGATCAAAGAAAGCGTCGCATACACGATCACAAGATTTTTATTCTTATTGTCTTTTAATTAATTTTCATTTACAATAAACGCATTTATAATTACTTTAACATAAAAGTACCATTAGTTGGCTTACAAAATATAACTCTTTAACTTTTCAACTGTTGGTGGGTGGGAGGTGTAGGAGGATACATTATACACTTACTATCCTAGGCAATAGGCATAGTACCTACCTATATATGAAAAAAATAATAGAGGTCTCGAAGGAAAATTGTGTTCGGCGTATTTTAAATGCAAGTCCAATATTAATATTAACCATAGGTAGCAATTAAACAGTTAAGTACCTAAAACTGRCCACTATGTTGATCCTTAGTGGGAAAGATGGTTCTATCACCACGCAAATAGTACCAATATGTGTCATTGATTAAATATGTACCTACTTAAGTTTAGGTATACTTGATAAATGGCAGTACACTCAAGTACGTGTACGAGTACCTATGTACTACTAACTTTATCGTTGGCTGCCCAAAATTGGCGTTATATGACAACGCTGATTTCGCTGTTTTTTTTTTCAATGTTAAAATTATTGTTCCAGTAGGTTTGTTCCATTTACCTTTATTTAATCACATACATACATATAATACAAAATAATAAATTTGTAATACCATTTTGTATTTGCAATTATTATTTATATTAGAGTTCAAAATGTTCATTGCAAATATAGGTATCCAATATTAACTTCAGTAGGTAGGTACTAAGTGTTGCAAATTTGAATAATGTGTAATAAATTGTACATTATAAACGCCGTGTAGAATTTTTACCTTTAATACGATTCCTTAGCCTATGGTGTAGTATGACCTATACTTTCTTGATAAACAATTAATATTTGAGTTTTTTCAAAAAAAGTCAATTAATATAATAAAAAAGATAATATTTAAAAATTTTGTCTTCACCTACTATTCCGTTATGATAGGTATTAGTATTATTCCATTTAAAACATTTATACTAATATTTMTAAAAATGTATAAATATCGAAAAAAAAAATTAAAAATAATTTTTCCATACTTATTTCATTATTTTATATTAGCAACTCCAAACTTGAGCAGTATAAATTGCTCCCTATCCCCCTGTGGACTTTTTAATTCAGAGGGGTGCGTTTTACTTTTGTGGATGCTAAAGGGGGTGATTCTACTGTGACTTAGATTAGACTAGGTTAGATCTGGATTTACCGCAGCACAACAATTTCTGACATAATCGGTTGACTTGTCTGAAAAAGAAGATTTAAGACTGATGMTGACATCCATTGAGCTATATATAATTATTTTAGCAGGAAATCATCAATCTCAAGGTAATCTCTGGCTAAAAGTAATTTTCCTGTTATTGTTTAATAGTCAATGTTATATTATATTTATATAAAATTAATATTTTTAGTAAATTTAAGAATTTAGTATATAAAAATATATATAAAAATAAAAACTGTTTTTAGGGTTTTGTCAATTAGTTTAAGTATATGGTTGATTTAAAAATAAACTGTGTAATTGGTGTAACTCTAAAAATATGACCAAAGATACTTAAATGTTCACTGAACGAATATTTATATTATCTAGCATTTTCTATGCAGTATAACAGTGGTGACCAACTAGCGACTCTGGTCATAGTCGTATGCGGATTGCGTCTTATTAAAAAAAAAAAAAACAATATTTACTTTTAACGATAAATACGATAAAATTATAAAATATAATTATAAACATTTTAGCTCTTAATATCATTGCATTTCTCCATGTGGCTCGTGGACGTATTCATGTTGGCCACCCCTGCAGTATAAAAATGTCAAGAATATTTTTATTTAAGTTGAGCTGTTTAAAGCAGTGGCGTACTTAGAGGGTTGCAGAAGGTGCATTGCACCAGGGTCCTTTAGCTGTATAATATATAATTTTAAATGGGGCCCATGAGCCCCTAATCGGCGTAATCAACAAGTAGCAACTTAAACTTTATAAGGGGCTCGAAAAATTAAGTTCACCCCTGTGCTTAAATACATAGATACGCCACTGGTTTAAAGGCATATGTAATTTTAGATTTTTATTAGTTTTTTAAAATTAACCCTTTGTCAATAAAAAATCTTTTCTCCGTCAATAAAACAAAATTTTAATATTAGGTTCATCATAATTTGTTTTTACCTAGGTGGAAATCAAAAAATAATTTAGCGTAAATTCACAATATTTTTTATAAGTGTCTAAAGTTAGAAGTTTGATAAATTTCGTTGAAATCTATGAAAAATTGTAGATTATTTTAGTTAGAAATTCATTAAAATGTGTTTATTTATATCAACAATTTGAAAATTCAATAAACGGCTCCTCACACTACATTGTTTCATTAGCAGTTTAGCATGATTCAAATAACTTTAACTTAAAGGTTTTAATTTATTAAATATTCTAGTTTTTCTTAATAGCAATTTTTTTATATTTCTTTTAGTATAAATATTTAGACGACTTGCAGCTAGTAGGTACCTATTTTTTTATTAATATCTCGTGAATTCTAATCGCATCTCATTATTGTGACAAAGAATTTTAATTTTAAACCTGCCAATAGAAATAGTTCAACACTAATTGTATTTAAATTACCTACACATTTACCACATTAATCAGTAATCCATTWGAAATATGGCTATTGTGCACTTTTATAGACACGTGTATAGATATAAAATATTGAAAGGATAATTCGATTTAGATTAAGTATTTCATTGTTTAAATTTCAAAGAATTCGAAGAAGAATCCGAAGAATTTGGTAAAGAATGAAGATATAATTATAAAAGCTATTATAATAATTTATATTAGTTTTCATACTACTTACATATGTAGTTATCTTGGTAACAAATTGTTAAATATTTAAAAAAAAAATTATTCAAAACTCAAATTCTGTGGTATAACTTCATCATAGTGCATTTAACAATAGGTTACATTTTATAAAATACAAATATCGATTTTAATTATTTTTATGTAGGTACTGTAAAATTTATATATATATGTCACTATTGGTTAACATAAATTATAATTTTGTATACYTACATGATACAATGTTTATAAATATTTGGACAAATTTTAAGATAATTATATAATTTTGAATTTATGTAAATATTGTAAATTTATGTATTAGAATACAATACAATACAGGGTATGCATTAGATTTTTCAACAATTGTATCCTGTATATCAAATAGTACATTGTATATGTTCAGTACATTGCATATATTTTTATGTAATTAATTTATATAAGTACAAACTTTATAATATTTTAACTTTCTAAATGGTGTTTTAACACGTTTTGTGGGCAGAAGCTACAAAACAAATTAAAAAGAATCCATTTTAATAATAAAAATATTTTTTTATTTTTTGAAAAAAGTCAAATTTTATAACTTGTTATCAGTGATTTGTACAAATACCAATATTTACCAGCCACAAAGCATAAAGGTTTGCGCAACATGTTACGTTGAGAAAGTCACTTGTAAAATTACCAAGTACTTGATGATCATTCATGTAGAAAACTAAATGTGCTCCAGGGATTGAACACTAAAAAGAAAAAAATGATTTTATTAAAAAAAATAYCTGATAACTTAGAAAACTAAAACTATTTACATTTAGTATATACTATAGTTAAATTATAACAAAATAATATTAATTAAATATGACTCAGAAGTCGATCACCTAAAAAATATTAAATAATTCCTAAAAATGTAAAATAATGCTTATACATTTTTTCTCTAATAAATTTAATACCTAGCCATAAATATTAAAATATAACATGAATAATGTTTAATCTAATTTATTTTAATAACTTATAAATCAAATGCTTAATTTATATAACAATAAATTAAAACAGTTTATAGTATGTTAAAATGTAGTTAATAATATTGTTTAGAAATGTTTGAAAAATTTAATTACTTAATTAATTGTATAGTTTTTAAATGTAATTAAAGTTACTTTGTATCAAAATTATTTTTATTCATAGCTACCGCCTGTGCACACATTACTTGGTTGACTTGGTTAACCATGGTAGACATGGGGCTTGAACATATTTTTTCAATTAATCATAAGAGCGTAGACGATAATCATCTCATCAACCTGGCCAGACAGCCGCATGAATTTAGGTACCAATATCAATATATTTATTATTTATAATTAATTAATTATTTTTTTATTT